ATAAAAAATGCTCAAAACCCTCCCTTATTACCCTGTTTGATGGTACCTCTAGAAACATCAAGCATTTGGAAAATTTCTGTCACACTAGCACCAGCCATATGGGCACCAACAGTAAGGAATTGTAGGAATGGAAGGACACTTAGAAAAAAGCTTTCCACCCAAGGTGGAAATCTTTTCTTAGATACAGCACTCTGCCAGCCTGCCAGGTGACTGACTATAAAGGAAAAGAGGGATGAAAAATGGACAAGCAGTTTCAATTGTGTAGTACATCAGATTTGTTATAGAATTGTTTAGTTCTCTCTTATTTGATTGATTGTTTTAACTTTTTAGCGCATTTTCTCACGTATGGAAGAAATGCTCTATTGTGCTCGCCATGTCTGTCTGTCTGTCCGTCTGTCCATCCGTCCGTGACCTCAAGTTTTCGTTGACAAGAAAATGCGCTCTCTGTCACTCACTGCAGTGAGTACTGAGTTATATTTTTTTCATTTATTGTATTATTTAAAAATTTTCAGGCCCTTTGTTTGCAATGAATAAGTTTAACTATTAAATTAAGTTAATGTAATAACTAAGTTAACCAGAACACATAACATATTTGGGCACAGCCTATCACAGCTGGAAAGGATGACAGCCCAATCCCATCACGTAATCACAGCTGGAAATGGGATGACATCACTATCCCACCAACCAATCACAACTACAAAGGGAAATCATCAGCAGATATGTATACAATGGACTAAAAGTATGAAGTTCCTGTCTTTCTAAGCTTACAGGTCCTTTTTTCCAATATGCTGAATGTACTGGTTAATTTAATACCCCCACTAGAATACACACTTGGCACCAAAAATTTTGCCTCTTTGAGAGTCAGAGGTTTGCCATATATTGGTTATAGATTAGTTTTTACCCAAAAATTTACTAAAAATATCAGTGCAAGGATAAACTGTCAATTAGCAGCAATAATAAACAATAAAACCTAAAAATATGTCATGTTTTCATTGTTTATAACATGTCCAAAAATATTGATATCAAAATGTCAGGTCTTTCCCTTATTTTGTCCAATCTCTTTGTATACCATCAAATGGGGTAACAAGGGATGGTTTTGAGTGTTATTTGTTAATAACTTCTTACCATGAAACATTTCATAAACGAGTTTAGGCTCAATGTTTGAAGCTTGCAGAGTGTACTCATCCATTAGTAACAGTACTCTGAGGTCCTCCTCTTTCACTGTAGATGATGTAGATGTAGAACAAATGTCATTTTCTGTGTTTTTACTAGTTTATCCTCTATTGATATGATCTCACCATATTCATTCATTACCATATTATCTATGTGATAATACCATATCCATAATCATGCCTTTGAGCATTTAAAATGACCTTGTCCACTGCAAGCTTCATATCAGCAGCCATATAGCATTTCTTCTGTATCTGTAAGCTTACAGGACTGCTTGTAATTCCACACCATTTTAATTGGGTTAAGTGAATTCACTATAATAAAAAGATTGTAAAAAACTTACCTGAAATAGAAAGGAATGTTTTAGAAACCACCATTATATGTTTTGAAGAAATAAATCCTAGTTTAGGTTAATTACTTTTCATTCTATGATGCCCAGTGCACAATCTTATATATGACATTCTGTGCACAATTTTGTGATGACCGATGATGCATTAATGAATAAATATGTTTAATAATTAATGTTTTGCATTAATTTTTTGCGCTGAGCAAGGTAAATGTAATCAAAATTCTTTGTTGTTAATCAATTTTTTTGTTAACTGGATCCTTTGCTAACTGAGGTTAAACTGTAAATGCATTTTTAGGGGTGTCCCTTATTACCCCATCGCATGGAAATGGCTGCCATTATTTTTTGGAATGAAATGGGCAAGTTTCATCAATTGCGTTGTCAAGCAGACACCTGTGTGCAACTTTTATGTAAGTAAAATTTTTTAATATGGCAAATATTTTTTTTGCTCCAGACCTTAGTAGAGGTACTTTTCCATAATTGCACCTTTCACTCTTTTTTGGCAATTTTTTAGAGATAGTGAATGTATGATTTTGTAACTAGCTTTATACATAATAGATAGTAAAAATGTTGAAGTTTATGCCGCTATTTTTAGTTTAGCAATATTTTGATTAGTTTAGCTGCTACAACATTTCTATGAAATGTGGGACACACGTCCCAATTTGCCCCACCTGTCCCTTAATACCCTGTTTGATGGTACTGTATCTACCTGAGAATCAATTTCTGGGACTTGACAATTTTCTAAGATGAGGAACTGATAACATACTGCCAAACGGGATGATGAGGGATGGGTGGGGTAATAAGGGACAGTCCTCCAACATTTCGTAGAAATGTTTTAGCAGCTAAACTAATTAAAATGTTGCAAAACTAAAAATAGTGCCATAAAATTCAAATTTTTCCTATCTATGTAGCATAAAGCAAGTTAAGAAATCACACATTTACTACCTCTAAAAAATCCCTGGAAAAAAGTGAAAAATAAAATGTTGGAAAAGTACCTCTGCTAAGATCTGTAGCAAAAAAATATTTGCCGTATTAAAAAAATTGTACCAACATAAAAGTTGTACACAGGTGTTGGCTTAAAAACGTGATTGACAGAATTTGTGTTGCTCATTCCAAAAAAAGGGCGGCCATTTCCGCGGGACGGGGTAATAATTGACACACCCCCAGGGTAATAAGGGATGCCCTAAAAATGCATTTACTGTAGAACTTTGGTTAGCAAAGGCTCCAGTTAACAAAAAATCAATTAACAACAAAGAATTTTGATTACATTTACCTTGTTCAGCGAAAAAAATTTCACTTGGCAAAATAATGCATCATCGGTCATCACAAAACTGCGCATAGAATGTCAGATATAGAATTGTGCACTGGGCAACATAGAATGAATACTAATTAACCTAAACTATGATTAAAAAAATATATATAATGGTTGTCACTAAAATATTCCTTCCTGTTCCAGGTATGTTTTTTTACAATTTTTTTTTTTGTGATAGTGAATTCACTTAACTCAATTAAAATGGTGTGAAATTACCAGCTGTCCTGTAAGCTTAGCTACAGAAGAAATGCTACATGGCTGCTGATATCAAGCTTGCAGTAGAAAAAGTTGATGTCAATGCTCAATGGCATGTTCGTGGATAAGGTAATATCAAATAAATAATATGGTAATGTATGGATAAGTTAATATATCAATAAAGGAAAACGAGTAAAAATCACAGAAAATGTAATTTGTTCTACATCTACATCATCTAAAAAGGAAGAGGAGGACTTCAGAGCACTGTTAGTAATGGATGAGTACACTCTGCATGCTTCTAACATTTTAAAATTAAGTTTTATTTCAAGTGTCCCTTATTACCTCATTCCCAGGGTTAGTTCAGGAGGCTTTTATTTTGTGTCTGGCACCTTACAAATAGCATATAGAATTTTTTCAGAGATGCCATACAATAGCCCATGCATATACCTTTGAAATGAGCCCAAACTTGTTCATGAAACAATTCAAGGTAAGAAGTTATTAACAAAAAATGCTCAAAACTGTCCCTTATTACCCTAATTGATGGTAAGCATACTTGTATACCCAACTTGGTTGTAAATAAAACTAATCTCTCAACATGTAAGTGACCCAGCATTATTATATACGGTACCGTCAAACTGGGTAAAAAAGGATGGTTTTGAGCGTTTTTTGTTGATAACTTCTTACCATGAAACATTTCAGAAACAAGTTTGGGCTCATTTTATAGCTCTTTGCAAGAGCTATCCAATGGCATCTTCAAAAATTCCATATGCTATTCGTAAGGTGCCAGACGCAAAATAAAACCACCCCAATTTACCCCTGGGAACGGGGTAATCCGGGACACTTGCAATAAAAGTTAATTTTAAAACGTTTGAAGCATGCAGAGTGTACTCATCCATTACTAACAGTACTCTGAAGTCCTCCTCTCTCATTGTAGATGTAAAATAAATAACATTTTTTGTGATTTTTACTTGTTTTTCCATTATTGATATTATATTAAAATATTCATTAATTACCGTATTATTAATGTGATATTACTGTATCCTTGGTCATGCCATTGAGCATTGACAATGACCTTGTCCACTGCAAGCTTCATATCTGCAGCCATGTAGCATTTATTCTGTATCTGTAAGCTTACATTATAATGGTTGTCACTAAAATATTCCTTCCTGTTCCAGGTATGTTTTTTTTACAATTTTTTTTGTTATAGTGAATTCACTTAACTCAATTAAAATGGTGTGAAATTACCAGCTGCCCTGTAAGCTTAGCTACAGAAGAAATGCTACATGGCTGCTGATATGAAGCTTGCAGTGGAAAAAGTGGTTGTCAATGCTCAATGGCATGTTCATGGATAAGGTAATATCACAAAAATAATATGGTAATGTATGGATAAGTTAATATATCAATAAAGGAAAAACAAGTAAAAATCAAAGAAAATGTAATTTATTCTACATCTACATCATCTGAAAAGGAAGAGGAGGACTTCAGAGCACTGTTAATAATGAATGAGTGCACTCTGCATGCTTCTAGCATTTTAAAATTTAGTTTTATTTCAAGTGTCCCTTATTACCCCGTTCCCAGGGTTAGTTCAGGAGGCTTTAATTTTGTGACTGGCACCTTACAAATAGCATATAGAATTTTTTCAGAGATGCCATACAATAGCCCATGCATATACTTTCTAAATGAGCCCAAACTGTTCATGAAACAACACAAGTTATTAACAAAAATCGCTCAAAACCGTCCCTTATTACCCCAATTGATGGTAAGCCTACTTGTATAACCAACTCGGTTGTAGATAAAACTAATCTCTCAACATGTAAGTGACCCAGCATTATTATATATATATATTACAAAAATATATATAATTACTAATTATCATTACTATTAACAATTGAGAATAAATATTAAGTTCAAAAATAATTTCATTTTATCTGTCAAATAATAAAATGAACAACAAAGCAGACAGTTTTGAAACATAAACCTTTTAAGAGCAAAATCACAATCTATAATGAACAGAGTTCAAGTGTCAAAACCTGTTGAGCAGTATATATAAACTATTGGTAACAAAATGGAGTGTTCTAAACCCTTGTACTCTTTAAATTTAAATATCTCAATATAGCTATATTTTTATTCCATCTTGTATACAGTAGGTACTTATTTTTATACCGTAGCACAAAAATAACTTTTTTATCTGAAGCCAGTTTGAAAGTTTTCCCTGTGATGGATCTGTCTGAATACAACTCGAATAACTTCATGAACTGCCACATTGACTCAGCCGTGCCTGAAGTGTGCAAGACTGAGCCATGCGTTCTGGGGGTGGATGAAGCAGGAAGAGGACCTGTCTTAGGTGATCATATCAAATACTTTCCTAAGTTTTAGCCAGAACAAAACTAACTTTTTATAAGCCAACTTATCATTCATAATAGTTTGTTGGGAAACAAAAATTTTTCCAGGGATTATTTTAGCTTTTTTGAGTGTAATTTTATTCCATTCATAATGGATCCCTGAATACTTGAAGCCAAATAATAAAAATTTTTGCCTTACTATACATACTAGTTGAATATTTTCTCAGCATTTATGTGTAATAAAAGCACATCAGGGGATCATTGTTTTTCATACTGTCTTCATACTTTTATTAAGTTAATGTTTTTTCCATTGTAATATTACAGTTTTGTTTAAAGCATGATTCGTATCTTTTTCACCCATTTCACAATCATTTTATTGACAAATGTTTGCTGTTTGCAGGTCCAATGGTGTATGGCATTTGCTACTGTCCAGTATCTCGCAATGAGGACCTCAAAGTCCTGGGTGCTGCTGACTCCAAAACCCTGACAGAGGCCCAGCGGGAGAAGCTCTTCCAGTCTATACATGAAAACAATGACTACATTGGCTGGTCCATTGAAGTCATCTCACCCACTTTCATTTCCAACTGCATGTACAAGAGGTCAATCATAGCATCTCAATTAGTTTTATGTGCTTATTTAATGAATGATTTACCTAATAAAAGCTAATACTTTATACATTGAACAATGCAGCAAGAACCTGGGTGACCCCAGCACCATTAGTTTGACATATTTAAATTGTCTCTCCTATTTGTTCTGAATTTATGCTTGTGTACTAAAATTGTGACTTGATATACGAGGGCTATTCAGAAACTAGGAATGTTTTGTAATAAAACAAAAACTAGGTACAGGAAAAATATTTTATAATGTACAACTGACTGGCTAAGAGTGCAGGCAGCAAATTTCTATGATGAAGGAATTTGAAGCCTGTTCTCTGCTATGATAAGTGGTAATTTGTTTGGTGTAGAAAAGTAGCATTTTAATCACTCTTTCAGATGTACCATATAACAAAATATCTTTCCTGAACCTAATTTTTTGTTTTATTACTAACCGTTTCCTAGCTTCTTAATACTAGCCCTCATAGAAGCACTGTAAAAAAGTGTGTCAAACTAGTGAAATAGAAGTTTGCACTTAAGTTTTCTGCTCACTAAGAGATTTATTCAAATTAAGTTGAGTGAATTGGCACTAGCAAAGCACCTTGTTTTGGGCAGCTTCTGCATTGTTAATTGTCTATTGTTAACTTGAAGTTACCGATGTCCTAGATCAGTAATGTTTTGCTTTAAAGATTCAACATTAATAGCTCTATAATTTGCTATCGTTCATTCGTCAAGATTTTTAGTGTAATAACTTTGTAATTTGCTGAAGCTTAGTCTTTAAGATTCTTGTGTAACAGCTCCAAATTTTGCTGATGTCATGTCTTCAAGATTTTAGTGTATTAGATTCGTATATTACTGACGTACGGTATGGTCTAGAATTTTTATTTCTGATAGCTTCATATTTTATTGAGCTTCAGATGCAGAATATTCCATATTTTATCTTCATGTTTGGCAGGCCTAAAGTCTCGCTGAACGAAGTGTCGCACAACTCTGCCATCACGCTCATCAGACGCGCAATGACCGCCGGCGCCAACATCACCCAAGTCTTCGTGGACACCGTAGGACCGCCTGAGAAATATCAGGTGCCTTTAAGTTACAACTATCTGATCATTACACGTATTTACCTATTACGTGCATCTCTCTTTATCTTGTACATTTGATGATTTTGATGATTTTGATGATACAGCTTGTCTTGAATTTAGCAATTTACAAATTATTTCTCTACATAAAAAGTCAAAATTTATGATGAGATGCTAAGTTTACTGTGCTTTATTTCTTAGTTAATTGAAGGTGCGTTTTTTTGTGAAGGGGAGTGAATTCTTGCTAAGTATGTGCTAAGACTTGAGATTGCTCCAATTAAAAAATACTGATTAAATAAACTGTGAGCACTGAAAGGTGTAATTAATTTACTAACATAACATTAATAATTCATTTAGATGATTAATGTTTTATAGCATTGGGAAAAGTACTTCACATCGTGCTATAGATGTGTGTATCTATTATTTCATGATCTAAATGGTTAAATATTGATGAGTAAAATATACTTTTTTCAAAATTATGACAAAATGCTAATAAACTATTTGATTGATAGAAAATTATGTGAAGCAAACTGTGTTAGGCGAGCATGTAATTTGTATTGTTTGTTTACAGGCGAAATTGCAAGAAATTTTCCCCACGTTGGACATAACAGTTTCTAAAAAAGCAGACGCTCTTTATCCTAGTCAGGGTGTGTCGTCTGTGCCAGGGTGTGTCGTCTGTGCCAGGGTGTGTCGTCTGTGCCAGGGTGTGTCGTCTGTGCCAGGGTGGGTCGTCTGTGCCAGAGCTCAGTGTAGAGATTGTGGTATAACCGAGACACCACCACTTGTTTGAATAAACTATCGTCGCTACTTCTGTGATTTATCAACAGGGGTATTATAATTAATGACTATCAATATAGATACTGAACGACTTGATTCATAATTCAATATAACTTTTATTGTTTCTGTCGTAGCTGCTGAATTACTTGCTAAGGAAATAAAATATAATCTTCAGCGGTACTGTTGATCCCGCAGGTCGCGCGTGACAGCGCTCTGGCTGCCTGGCAGTTCCCTGAAGGCATCGAGGGTGGCACTTGGGGCAGCGGATATCCTGGCGGTGCGCGTCATGTCTTATATTGAAAATATTATTTCTTATTGCCTGTGAATTTAATATATCCCATGAATTTTATGCTTCTTATTAACGTGTTTTAAAGCGCGTAAAATTTCTACGTTTCAGATGCGATCACAAAAAACTTCCTACAGCGGACGCTCGATCCGGTGTTTGGTTTTCCCAGCCTCGTCCGCTTTTCCTGGTCCACGGCGGAGTCCATCTTGCAGACCAAAGGCGTGCCAGTAACGTGGTGGGTCTAATGAGAGACCAAAGGCTTGTCAATCTCATGGTGATTTATTGGGTAAACCAAAGACATTCCAATAACATGATAAGTAATGAGAGACCAAAGGACTGTCAACCTCATGGTGATTTAATTTTAGACCAAAGACACGCCAATAACATGATGAGTCTAATGAGAGACTAAAGGCTTGTCAATCTCATATTGATTTAATATGTAGACCAAAGACATGCCAATAACATGATGAGTCTAATGAGAGACCAAAGGCTTGTCAGTCGCATGGTGATTTAATGGGTAGACCAAAGACTTGCCAATAACATGATGGGTCTAACGAGAGACCAAAGGCACGTCAGGCGCATGGTGAGCCTGATGGGTAGACCAAAGACGTACCAGTCTCATGGCTGGTGTAATGGGTAGAACAGATGGCTGCCCATCTCATGATGGGTTTACTGGAAGGACTATGAAGGTATCGGTAACATGGCGAGTCTTAGGTACAGACCGGGGACATTCACGTGCACCACCATGCACAGCCTTTGCATGATGGACACGTGGACAGACCTGGGAGCTGTCAATCACATCAAGGAGCTGTCAATCACATCAAGGAGCTGTCAATCACATCAAGGAGCTGTCAATCACATCAAGGAGCTGTCTCCTTCCTCCTTATCCATCCCAAATTTCCTCAGAGCGTTGTCTAAATTGTCTGTCTATTGTGTCGAACGCCTTCAGCATAACACAGTTATGATGAACCATTGGCAATTTGATACTAGTGTGAACGGTGGGAGTCGTTCACTGTTAACGTGGGTACCGAAAGTGAAAGTGTACAGCCCCATCACATTGTCCTTACGGCATTTAGTGAAGTCATGAGAGGTCAGATATGAGCGGCTGTGAGCCTGGTAATTAGTCGTGTTCCGCCAGCTCTACAGTGAGGTTCTCACCTAAATTCGCTCTACCAACTCTCAGCAATTCTGTGCCCTAACGCTAGAATCGTGGCAGTGCTTTGAAAGTTTTATGACGCTGTCTTTCATTATGAATGCCTGTTTCGCTGATTCTAGTATTTTAAACGTGTCTCTTTTAAACTGTTCCTTGCTGAAATAAACTTACGTTTTATTCGTGTTAACTGAAGTTTTAATTAACGGAATCCATGTGCAATTGAAATTTTTATCGAAGTCAGTGTATTTCTTTACAAGATAGTTACCGGCGTTTGGCCGTAAGGCTCGAGACATTCTGAGCAAGATTAAAGGTTGCGGCGAACGTCCGCTGACACTAGTATAACTCGCACTTATTTGCCTTCTGTATTGCCTGAACACCTGATGTTTTCCCAGGGCGGAGGAAGAAGAAGCTGACAAGGAGAAGAAGAACACACCGTCTGTGCTTCAGTTCTTTGCCCGGCAAGCGGGCGGCGGTAGAATGAATGGCAGCGAAGAAAATGGAGATGGCGGGAGACGCGGCGCTGCTGCAGCACAGCGACACTTCTTCTTCAGCGACCGCTGCCTCCAGCCCTTGCAATGCCTCTAGCGGGCCGATTTAATCATCTTAATTATTGCTCTAGTGTTTGTGACGTTATATTTTAATTACTTCGCTGTACTGTAACATGACACAAGAGTAACTGTATGCTGCGTGTATTTACGTCAATAATTTTTGTGGGTTAGTTTTCAAGGGTCCGTTAGACGCTGGACGTCTCCGTTGCACGTACCCCCGTCTTGCTGGCTGAGCGACGCATGCCAGTGAAACTGGAGCCGACTTACCTGACAGTCGCTTCATTTTCTTAGCTCTTTGTAGGAAGAAAATATAAAATCATCTTTATAAAATTAAATTTTGAGTAAATTTGTACAATGTTTATGATTTTTTTTTACGTTATGGCTTTCTTAGGCCTGATGGGGCTTTGGTCAAGGCGACAGGTCGGACTTGACCTGGGCTTCAAGTCCGACTTGTCATATTGAGGAGACAAAAGAATAAACTGTGACATGTCTATTTAGTTAAGAGAAGTTAACGGTGCTTCTCTAAACGAAATAAACTGGTTCCTTGATTGTATCTATATTGATACAATAATATGAAATAGTGGTGTCAGCTTTGCTTAAGCCATGTTGGCCTCCCGCCGATTCTAAACCCCCTTGTCACCTCGCCGCTTTCGACCAGAATTTTCACCTGTTGCAGGTTTCAAACCCGAAACTGTTGCTTCAATCTTGGAACTCAATAACCACTCTGCCACCTAAATTATCTTATCAGTTTTTACGTCGACGAGTTTAACCTGATGTCTGGTAAATTTGCGGTTAAATTATCCTATCTGACGTGTTGAAATATTTGTACATTTTGATTTTTGAGGTATTCTCTGCTGACGTTCTTTATGAAGAGAAGGGGTTGAGAGCCCTGGATGAAAAGGGTAAATAAAAAGTAAAATGTGTCTCTAAATTTCCTGTCATTTCATACGTGTTCGTATAGCTTCATTAATCCTCTTCTAGGTACTCATTAATATACTAATTACCGAGGCTTAAATATCTCCCTTCTAATGTGAGCGATTTGAATAGACAATTTGCACATTAAATTTTTTTTATGGTGTAGTACAAAATACGAATTAAAGAGCTGGAAAGTGTGCATCAAGATAAGTTTCTATTGAAAACGTCTAAAATCTTGGATTATTTCCAAGTAATATTTCTATGCGGAGGAACGGCGCCTTCTCTATCCGCGTCAATGTGGACCCGTTTTGATTCCGGTTTTCTTAGTCTTGATGGTAACGACGTCTTTTCGGCAATAGTAGGCGGTTACTTTCATTATAATGTACAACGTGCGCAATAACCAGGATACAATCTTCAATAATATTACATTATTTCTGCCAACAATTGTATCACCAGATGAGTGATTGGACAAGATTGGATGTTCGGCACATCAGACTAGAATTGTCTTGACCCACGACACCGATGAATTACAAACTGGTGTCGAAAACTGCTATCCAAGTCACGAAAGGAAAGTACGACAAATTGGCTTACAATTCTTTGATATTTTTCAGCCAACAAGATTCGGACGGTATAAGGAATTGGGAGTTGACGATTGACTATAGCGTTAATCGTGCCAGATAGTATTCAGCTGTGAAATTTCGCAGTTCCTCCTGCGGAACTTTTTGCTTCATGTCAAAAGCATCATCAATCGCCGCTCGTTTTACAATAAGCCATTTTTACTGACTGACCCAAGCCTAAGAAAATCCTAAATATCATAAGATAATGATCATAATAAATTCTATCTGCTGATTATCGATTCGTTTTCCTCGCGCATCGATTTGGTTTAAAAAAAACCTCGTGCGACTGATGGCGAGCCAAATCTAAATAATAGTTGTTGAGCAGATAGACGAATTAAAAACTTTTCACCAACTCCTGCTTGCGGAGTTTCCCTAGGGGCATATACTTCAAATAGTATAAATCTTGTGCGTTTTGCAGCATAAGAAGAGCAATTTGGAATTAAACGTCAAGGGATGTAAACTTGAATAGTTAAAAAAATCTTTGGCAATATATTCCATCCCTTTCGTTTGTTTCGGCTCATGTCTGGTATAATATTTCAAAGTTAATAATGATGATTTAAGTTTTAAATATGAGCTGGACATGGAATCAATTGTCTACTTTAGACAAGTACCCAAGCTCCCATACTAGAGTTTTTTCTGAACATATAGAATGCAATTTGACCAGTGACTCTCGAGTCTCTCATCTGCATTTTCCTCGAAATTTCTCTCATTTTCCTCGAAGAGGTAAACATAAGACAGATGGTTTAAGAAGAGATTTAAGCTATTTTGACAACGACAAAATTATTTTACAGAGTGTTAGCACAAGGTAAATACCACTTACGTATCTTCAGGATTTAATGAGATAAGACAATTGGAAGTCTCTGAACCTGAGCAATAACAAACGACATCCAGACGTACGTAGAACGAAGTGGGTTTCCAACTCAATGGATAAACAAGACTGGTATTATATTGATTTATTTTCTTATCATCTGATGAGAGTGCAGACAGTGAGCACAGCGGCTGGTGTAGGAGCGGTTGTTCACTTGAGACCAGCAAAGACTTCGCTGGGTACAGCCTTGGGCTGTGGCAAGTCTGCAATGCAACACAAGAGCGTTAGGATATATTACCAAATTGACAATTAATATTATATACAATCATTGAGAATTTCAATGGGAGGCTTAGAATTCTGAGCTGATGAAGACTTTAGGAAAGAATTAGTGGGGCAATTTGTGGGCCTTTCAGATATGAACCGCTTAATTGAATGATCAAAATGAATGAACTTTTTAAATGAGTTTTACATCCGATTTCTATCTTCAACGAGTGAACCACCAAACACAGCCGCAATGATATTCCAGTTACATTGCAATGGTATTCCTACTATAAATGATAGTGTTGGAGGGAACGAGGGCGACAAATACAGGACGTAACTCAATTGTGAAAGATAGTTCATCTACTAATTGGAATAATAAGGTTAAATAAATAAATCTGTTGCGAAGGTTACCAGGAAATAAGACCTATTTGTATCCGTTATTTGGGTCTTCGTTACTTTACATGACATGAGGTCTAAATAGAGTAAACAATTTTAGCCTAATTTTGGGTTCTCCGGCCAATCAATGGCTGTTCATTTGATTATACTCGTTGAGTTGTATTGTACACTTGTATATGTATTTTTTGTTCACCCAACACGTTCATCCGCTTTGTGTTCCGATAACACAATAGGCACCCTCATGGTTGAACAATATAAGGTTGACCCGTCTTTCAGTTCAGCTTTCATTTTGAGTCACTGAGATCGAGAAACGTAAACAATCCCGTCATTCCCATGACGGATTGGTCGACTGGTTTGAACGTATTTCAGTGATTGGTTAATGCCCGTGACGTCACTGAGATCAGTGACGTCACATGCGTACAACGAACTACATCTGCAAAAATGAGCTTCTCATGGGTCAAGCTTATACTAGTACTTCAACCATGGGTACCCTAAAGCTATCTCTGTCTACGTCGCATCAATACATCGCCTCTCCTCATTGTTCAAGTTCACCAGGCGCCTCCTCGTCTTGTGATACACTCCTTCCCCGCACCTCATCCATTCTTCTACGCTCCCTCTCGTCTTCTAGCTTCACCACCCCTCCCCGTCCCCCTACACACTTTCATTCCATCCTTCTCATCCTGCTCCTCTTCACATTCCTCACATTCCTCGTTTTCACATCAACCCTTCTCACTATCATCCTTTTCCTAGCAATTTGCATCCATACCCTCTTCATCCTCATACTCCTCCTCACCCTCGGCACCCATACACTCCTACTCACAATCTTCACCCTCTTCACCCATACCCTTCTCATAACCTTCGCCCTCTCCACCCATACCCTCCTCCTCACAATCTTCGCCCTCTTCACCATACCCTCCTCCTCACAATCTTCGCCCTCTTCACCAATACCCTCCTCCTCACAATCTTCCCCCTCTTCACCATACCCTCCTCCTCACAATCTTCACCCTCTTCACCATACCCTCCTCCTCACAATCTTCACCCTCTTCACCATACCCTCCTCCTCACAATCTTCGCCCTCTCCACCCATACCCTCCTCCTCACAACCTTCACCCTTTTCACAATCTTCACCCTCCCCCTCCTTCTCACCCTCCTCCTCCTCCTCCTCCTCCTCATCGTCCAGGTTGATCTCCTCAGGGTTGGGGACGCGGGCGGCGGCGGCGACCTCCTCGTCCCGCGCGCTCGTGTCGCTGCGCACGAACAAGATCCTCGCCTCGCCTGTACGTGAAATTATTTATTATTATTTAAGGCTGTAGTAGATTAAACTATTTAACAGCTAAATAAATACCGTTTACTAAGCATACAGTATAAATACGTGCACACAATCTCCAAGTTCGTTAACACATTATACATAACACGTTATCGTGCATGCAGTATACCTAATATACCGCAGTATACATAATATAAGATCATGTAGATCATAATCATGCAGTATACATAATGTTGGATCTCCACGTCAAACTATAGTGAAGCTATAATAAGTTTACGACACGCAACAACTTTGGTGAAATCTTGAACCAAATTCCAGTTTGAGACGCTGGAGCTACATAATGTCTTGACAGTCTTGTATATAACAGTGAGCTGTCATCTCTCCGGGGAGAGTAATGACAAAGAACAACTGCTTACAAGCCTCCTACCATATTTTCTATTATTTTGATAAATCAATCAATTTTTGGTTTACAAGATGAAGTTATACAATGTAAACCTCTACAAAATATGCAACATTAATTAAAAAAAATTATAAGAATTAGCTTACTTAAGAATTAAATAATATAATAATTAGCTTATAAGGCTCTTAAAGTTTATTCCTAATAATACTCTTAATATTCTCAATATATAATAATTAGCTTATAAGTCTCTCAAGACTTAGCATGCTGTAAATTTCACACGCCAAATAGAGTATATTTTTGGATGAAACATTAACGCATCGAAACACTAAGACGAGGCACTGCATGTGTAGGGAGCTGGGTCGTGCAGGGCATCTCGTACCAGGTGGTTGTGTGACCGCAGCTGCTGAGGGAGCTGCTGCAGCTGTACGGGCCTCCAAGGCCTGCATGCTGTCTGCAGAGGCAGCGGCTGCAGGTGTAGAAGCTGCTGCAGCGGAAGAGAGCATTTGCGCCGACATTTGATTGATCTGAAAAAAGGAAAGACGGTCAGGGAAGTTACTTACATAGACCATACAGCAGTTACGTTCAAGATAGCATTCTTTTGATACAAACAATTACACAATGGCGAATTTACAGGAAATGTTAATGGAACACCAAGAAACGTATAAGGACACAAGATTTATTTGCTTAAACTGAGCTCCATTTGGAGAAAATGGGGGAGAACAATTCAAAGAATGATCGCGCAGTTTATTTTAGTAAATCATTCACATGATGCACTGAATGCAGCGTCGTACCTGCGTGCTGTACTTGGCCTGCAGCGACCGTCGTATCCTGAGCAGCTCTCGCATGGTGTCCTCGTTGCCATGCTGCACCTCAAAGTCCGTCCATTTGTCCCAAAATTCTTTGGTGACGCGCGGGTCGCAGAGCTCGCTGGCGTACACGAAGATCTCGCGCGCGCGGTCGATCTCGCCGAGAAGACGCTCGGTCTCGGCGAACCTCATGCACATCTCGCGGGCTCCCACGTCAGGCAGCTCCTCTATGGCTTCCTGTACATGATGGATGTGGTTGAGTAAAGGCAATTTGATACTGAGAACAGCACTTGGGTGATAAAAAAGGATCTGATACTGCTGCTGGGGGGCTACCCCTTTATTATTGTATCTCGACACGATCGTAAAAAGGTTCAGTCGAGATAAAATACCGAGTTCACAATAAATTCAGTAAAACACTTGTGTACAAATGCTTTGTGCCGGTGGTAGGTAGTCCTTGCCAGCGAGTAACTAAAGCATGAATGAATACAATCCTGTAAGTATAGAAAACCTAAATTGCGCAATCGTAAAGTCTAAATGAAAATGGAATAATCGTTGCTATAAAATATGAATAATTTATACTATTCCCTAACACTGCAGACACCACTTAGGTGATAAAACATTTGATACTGAGAACACTGTAGGTGCTGGCATGGGTGATTAAAAGCAATTTCCTGCTAAGAACATCACTTGCGTATTAATGCCGATTTTATAATGTTTGTAGGAGTAAAACTAATGCTCAATTTTCAGTAATGAGGCAGCATTAAAATTTGATCACGCTTTGGTTTGATTAACAGGGTACATAATTTCTTCTTTGTTAATCCTCACAGTAATACGTAATTCACCGGATAATTATCCTAGCTTTATCTTGCCAATTAAGGCATGAACTCGACTCGTACAAACGAAAATACTTCCGAGTTTGTAACCCCGTCAGCCAATCACAGACAGTTTTTCAAACTAAACCCACCAATCACAGACGAGAAATTTGCCGCCATTTTTACTTAGGTCGCTACGTGTACTCAGCAAGTTTTGATAACACGCCCCCAGAGAGCACGACTCACCTGGTAAATTGCTCTGGTCTTGGCGATGCCGTGCAGCTGCGAGGCGTGCTGGATGTAGACGTTGTACAGCTCCAGCTTCTGGTCAGGAGGTACGCTCTTGGTCGCGCGACTGTACACCTGCACAAGAGTACACGACCGTTAGAGTCTATAATAGCTTATTTATTGATTCATTAGTTATAAACTATATTCTGAGCCTATAATTGCTGACAACGAACTCCCGCGTATTGATTAATTAGTTATAAACTATAAACGATCTGCTGCAGGCAAAACAGTCTCGCGTGTTGATTAGAAACACTATAGTTTATATATTCTTAAAAAGTAACAAAAATTAAACTTTTAAATTAAACTGTATCAAGCGCAGCACGATTTTACCATCACTTGAAAAATTACCTAATAATCTTGAGTTCAATACGAGAGGCGATACAGGTAGCTTGTTGACTTATACAGGATAACACAAGCTCAATCAGAATCCGGCGTCATCAATGAACATCAACAACGTCGCCATGAAACAAAAGAAAAATAAATATTTATATAATTAACTCGACCTCAGGAATGAATATGCTGATGAACAGATGGAGTATAATTCATATTATTCATGACTGACCTGCAGGGCATGTCTGGCCAGCCCGTGCTGCTCCTCCATGTTGGCATAGAGGAGGTAGAGCGCCTTGCAGTATTTGGCAGGACATTTCTCAAGGCATTGCTCGAACAGGTCCCTCGCGCGTTCTATCTTGCTGCCCTTGTAGCGCTCCAGGAACTTGGTGAGGTACGTGTTCCAGATGTCGTACACGTATGGCCATTTGAAGAGCGCGATGCCTTTCTCGTACGCCTTGAAAGCTTCTTCAAAATAATTGTTCTCCTGGAGGAACATGCCGTAATTGATGATGATTTGAGGAGTGGCGATACGGAGGTCGATGATGCGATCATAAACCGCCTTACATGACTGGAAAGTGCCTAAACTTTCCTCCAAGTCCGCGTACAGAGACCAAAGCTTGAGACATTTATGCAGACGCCGCTGCACGGTCTCACTCTCGTCGTGGTAGTCAACGCGGGCTCCTGGTATGGCAGTGGCACGCTTGAGAAGCTGTAGGGCCTGCTTCTCATTGTCGTTCCTTAGCTCCATCTCGGCCCACTCACACCACACACTTGCTAAGTCGTCCACCTTGACGTAGGCAACCTGTGTGGCTTTCTCAAGGATCAGACGAGCGTCTTTCAACTGACCATTGTTCTCATAGAAGCAAGCAAAGTCAACCCACAGTTGCCAGAGTTTGCCAGCCGCCTGTTTAGGGTCGATGGTCTTGACAGCCTCCATGTAGGTGGTTACGACCATCTTGGGTTTGGAAGCATACAGGGACACTCGCTTCTGCCACTCGATGACGTTGTGGGGGTTCTGGCGCAACATGACGCTGTTCAGCAGCAGCGCGCGTCGCTCGATCAGATCCTCGTAACGGGCCAGTCTGGCGACACAAACATACATATTTTCAGGGGGTTAATAGTGACGACATTAGTGAGCCAGTCTGGCGACCGCGACACAAACATGCATATCATTTACAGGGGGTTAACAGTGACGAAATTAGTGAGGCAGTCTGGCGACACAAACATGCATATCATTTACAGGGGATTAATATTGACATTAGTGAGCCAGTCTGCCGACATAAACATACATATCATTTACAGGGGGTTAACAGTGACGAAATTAGTGAGCCAGTCTGGCGACACAAACATGCACATCATTTACAGGGGTTAACAGTGATGACATTAGTGAGCCAGTCTGGCGACACAAAGAGGTGGATGCAAAAGTATATGTTCAGTCTTGAAATGCCTTGCACCGTACAGAACTAGTAAAATTCCAGTGATGGTATAGACTGGAATTTTATATAGACAGTGATGGTATCTTGTCAGAATGCCAGTTTTTAGATCTGTGATCAGGTCACGAAAAGTGCTTGAAGCGGCTATAGGTCTAAACAGGCCTATTCCTTCAACACCGAAGATGATATGCTATAAGCCTTTTAAACAACATCACTATGACCATCCATGTAACTGCTTGGTTGAAAAACAATTTATCATTAGAAATATGAGTAAATTTTCCTCTGAATTCACTGATAGAAAAATTCTCGTTCAAAGCCTTCTGTTGATTAGTTTAGTATCTTGTCATATAAGGAATATATTAATAATGGTGGTTCTCATATATCAGTTTGGCAAGTTTACATTAATCGGAAATTAAAATACAGATTAAAGAAATGGCTCCAGCTGCAACTTATTTATAATATTTTTTGCAAACACAGAACAACACAAAAAGAACTTCATCAATACCACAACCCAAATAAATTAAGTAGCACAAAAGATGAGTTTCCATTCTCACCTGAGGTTGAAATCATCCTGTTGCAACTGATCGTCGAGCTTGGCGTCCTCCATCTGCTTGCTAAGCAGCAGCTCCTCAAACTGGGCATACGCGTCAAAAACCTGAGTAAAGTCGCGCACGGTCATAACGCTGCGCATGGCTTCCTCATACACGTCCCTGGCACGTTCAAACAAGGCGCTCTTGATGTAATATTGGGCTAGACAGTTCCAGAGACGACCTGTCTGGTCCACATAACGCTGTAACCCATGCCGCATGATGGCCTCTGCATTGTGGAGTGATGTTTCCTCTGGGTTATTGGATAGCAAATCGCACAGTTCACTCCACAATTGGTATTTACTTTTACCATACTTTGAGGCGAAAGCATCGGTGTTCACACACCACTCGTACTGCCGTGCAGCCTCCTGGAGGCGCCCCTGTGCCACCAAATAGTTGATGTAGTCCTCAGTGTCTTCAGGTTTAAGCTTGAGGTACCTCCTCCACACCCTGACGGCAGTCTCGGGAATATCATGCATCATCACAAACTTCAGGTACAAGTCCCATACCCTGTCATGTTGGGTTATTGGCAACGCACACAAGGCACGGTCAAAAGTCTTCCTGGTTCTGGTAATTTTTTGCTGGTCCATCAGGAACTGTAGGTAGAGCAGCCAGATCCTAGGCATCCTGTGCATGAAGACCAGGCATCGCTCGAAGGTGTTGTTGACGCTCTCTGCTGCTGGGCTTGCAAGACAAGAATCTTTCATTGCCAAGAGGCGCAGCTTCAGGTACTGACTCCAGAGCTTATAGCTCATTGGCATCTGAAGGAGAGCGCGTTCATACAAATAATGCAGGTCTTTGTCACTGAATTTTCGCTTCTCAAGTGGCAGTTCAAGTTCCTCTTTGATGCAGCTTTTCTTGTGTTCAATGTAACGCAGCCAATGCTTCACTGAGAATGGATTGCGTATGAGCTCTTCTTCATAAGGCAAGTCATCTGCAATCTGATGAGAAATGGTATGATTTAGGTTATCTGTGTCTTTAAAAATAGAAAGTAGACTTCCACCATGGACTAATTTTAATTTCTATACCCCATGTGAAAAGGATTCTGCCTCACGATAAGAAACTGGTAATTTAGTCTTCGCTCTAATTTTGAATTTTTTAACAACAACGATCAACATCAAGAGCAGCTCAAATGAAACAAAATGTTTTATGGAATTCATCCAAGTATCTCACTATGTTGTACCCCACTTGCAAATATTTCAAAGATGGTCAATATATCAAAGTTAATAATAAATTAAGTCAATACATCAAGGCAAATAGGTATGAGGCTTTATTAAGAGGGCAGCTCCTGCACTCAAAAGCAAATTAATTGAGGTAACAAGGCCTGAGGTATAACAACAAAATTGAACTCACAATATTGATGGTGAGCTGAGACTTCTTTGTTTCCAGCTTGGAAGTTGAGGTGGTGGCATTAGGAGCAGGTGGCTTGCTTGACTCTGAAGATTCATTGCTAACAGCCATGGCTGTCAAAGAGCTTTGATATAACCAACTTGGCAAAATTTACAGGAGGTAATTATCTTACCACATTAGAATCTAATTGATCATGTGCAATAACAATCTGTTTGAAAAATTGGAAGTTAGAAGTAATTTGCACCAAAAAATTCTATGGACATTAGTATTATTAATTATATGAATAGAGGTCAAGTTCAACTGATCAATTCAAAAAAAAGTTGAATATGTCTTGAATTCACAAGTAGACATATACATATGAATTAAGCTAAAATTCAACTCAAGAAAAATTGAAGAAGTCATGAATTCACAAAATTTACATTTATACTTGTATGAATACCGTACTAAAGAAAACTTATATATAATGGTAGAAAAATAAGCGAGTTTGTGAAAGATTTGAGGCTATGTTATCATGCCTTAGCCACTTATCAATTGTTTCATAAATTTATATGTACCAATACAGCCTCCTATGCCAAAGAATTGAAATATAAACATCAAAATAAAACAAAAGCTTTTACCCAGACAGCTAAATTGCACCATTAATAACACACAAGTCACCACTCAGAAAAAAAATACATGTAAAAATTTTTCTTTTCTGACTGAATTTGCCTTTAAAAATAATACTGTCAAACAGGGTAATAAGGGGAGGTTTGGAGAGTTTTTTGTTAATAACTTCTTACCATGAAACATTTCATAAACAAGTTTGGGCTAATTTTAAAGGTGTTCGTGACTCGTGAGGGCTATCATATGGCATATCTGAAAAATTTTATATGCTATTTGTAGGGTGCCAGACACAACATAACAGCATCCCGATTTAGCCCTGGGAACGGGGTACCATAAAAGGGTGTTACTTTGACTACTTTTTTTTAAATGATGCCATTTTTTTACTAGATAAATTAAACTTGAATTGAAATATGCAAAATACAGGTCTATACTCTTGGTTTACTCACCATAAAATGCTGGCTCCTGCCTCTCATAGTTTTGATGTAATTTCAAAAAAAGTGATGGTCTTTGTTACCCCCTACTTTAGGGTTTCTTTGACTGGGTGGTAAAGCCAATTTTATTTTTTGGTAAAATAACTCCAGGGTTTGGTGCATTGTAGTAGAACTCTTCTAGTTACATATGGAAATGACAAATTTGAGGGATGTTTCATAGTTTGCAAATATGAAGTGCACCCTCCAATGGGTGAAATGTGACCACCTAATGGCAGCCGTGACAGGGTAATATTGACCAGCTTGGAAATCAAGTTAAAATTACCATATATAAGACTCTGTAGAGTGTGAAACATAAAGAAAAAACATTAATAGGTGTATCAAACATAAAATATGTTATATAGGTACCTATGGTAATTTCCAACTTAAACTTAATAACTTAATTTCCAAGCTGGTCGATATTACCCCATCAGGGCTGACATTAGGTGGTCAGAGTTACCATGAAAGTTACAGCGCCCCTCATTTGCAAACTATGACACTTCCCTCAAATTTGTCATTTGCATATGTAACTAGAAGAATTATACTACAATGCACCAAAACTTGGAGTTATTTTACCAAAAAATAAAAAAATTGGAGGGGGTTCTACAACAGGCTCTAAATAATAGCTCTTTTATGTGGGTCATATTTTTCATTTTTTAACCTATTAGATATGCAAACTTTTTTATTCTTTCTATTGTGTTACATAGCCTCAGTATTAGGCCTTTAATGCCCATTGACAAAATTTTTCCATGTCAAATAGTTTTTGAGTTTTGGGGGTTTTTGTTAAAAAAACTAAAAGTGGTCAAAGTTACCACAGGAGTCAAAGTAACCCCCTTTTACGGTAATAAGGGACACTTGAAATAAAACTTATTCTTAATTTTAAAATGTTTGAAGCATGCAGAATGTACTCATCCATTACTAACAGTACCCTGAAGACCTACTCTCCTTTTGTAGATGATGTAGAATGACATTTTCTGTTATTTTTAATTCTTTTTAGCGCATTTTCTCATTTATGATAGAAATGCACTATTGTGCTCGCCATGTCCGTCTGTCCATCCGTCTGTCCGTCCGTCCGTGACTTCAAGTTTTCGTCGATGAGAAAATGCGCTTTCTTTCACTCACTGCAGTGAGTACTGAGTTATATTTGTTCTTTATTGATATGATATTACCATTTCCATACATTACCGTAATATTGATGTGATATTACTTGATCCATGGATATCCTATGGAGCATTTACAACAACCTTGTCCACTGCAAGCTTCAAAACAGCAGCCATGTAGAATGTCTTCTGTATCTGTAAGCTTACAGGACAGCTTGTAATTTTGCACCATTTTAATTGAGTCAAGGGAATTCACTATAATAAAAATCATAAAAAACACACCTGAAACAGAAATGAATATTTTGGTGACAACCATCATATTTTTCAAAGAAATAAATCATAGTTTAGGTGAACTGCTTTTTATTCTATGTTGCTTGGTGCACAATTCTATCTATGACATTCTATGCACAATTTTGTGATGACAGATGATGCATTAATTATTTGTCAAGTGAATTTTTTTGCTGAATGAGGTAAATTTAATAAAAAATTATTTGTTGTTAATTGATTTTTTTGTTAACTGGAGACTTTGCTAACCAAGGTTCTACTGTAAATGCATTTTAGGGGTGTCCTTAATTGCCCAATCGTGTGGCAATGGCTGCCATTTTCTTGTCAATGAGCAATGCAACTTCCATCAATCACGTTTTTAAGCCAAAACCTGTGTGGTACTACTTTTAGGACAACACCTGTGTGCTACACCTACACATCAGTGTATTGTTCTTGAAGTATTAGAACTGTTGTAGAGGCAGCTTTCAGAATGGCACTGGATAAGTAGGCACAACCACTGTCAGCATCCTATGGATCATATGCAGCAGAGATCAGCATATGATAAAGAGCTTGCTGACATAGGGTCCAATTGGCCTGACAGAATTTCCACCAAACTAGAACATTCATAGAAGATCTTTCAAGTCTAGCTCCAATTTTGCAACAGATGGGGGAAATGGCTACTGCTCAGATCTGGTCTTTGGGTCAGAGAAGCTCTGGTGAACAAATCAAGAGTAAGAATGGCCAGTTTGAAGCAGGATGTGGCACCACAGTAGTTGTCTATGTAAATTGGAAAGCTACCAACATTCAACATAAAGATAGGAAGGGCCTCAATTGTTGCCTGCAAGGAATGACCTGAGATGTAGGATCTGCCACAGCTATCCCACAAGAGAGCATGTGCTCTAAAATCACAGACTGCCACAAATCTGCCTCCAAGATTAGACATATAATAGGTTCTCTCCTAATGTCTCACATTCCTGCCTTTGGTTGATGGCCAAAGCGGGGTCATAAACGGTCATAAACAATGGCCAAAGTCACTCCGGCGTTATGACCTGGTTTACAACCCTGGCGTTTATGACCCCGGCGTTAGACTCCTGCGTCTCAAAATAATTTTCTCGAAATGAACCGGGACAGACGAAACGAGACGAGAAAATTCCGGGAAAAAAATAACGGGACAGAGGGTAAAATTTGTCCCGGAATAAACGTATGAACCGAGACAAGACTTCTGTCCCGGACTTTAAAACTTGTGT